TATCAATGGGTTTCTGTAGATCGGCATTGTTGGAAATGGGGAAAGCGTGACTTCCACGTTGTTCCAATGACACCCTAATTCGTCACGTTTCCCTCTTTCTTAGCCAACTTGCTGTTTAACTTTTGTTTCACGACTGGTAAAATCCAGTTTGAGTTCTTCCAGGAATTTTTGTTCTGCCTTAAAATTTGGTAGTTTCACAAGATAAACTTAATTTGTTTCAAAGTCATCACTTTTGCAAAATGTGACTAATGAAAATGTGACTGCATGAATATACAAGTAGGGAACTGGAAAAAGGAATGATTGATTGTACGATAATTCATATAATATTGATAATGATAGCGATAATAATAACAGTAATAATAATAGTGACGATAATTTTGGTTGTAATAGTAATGATAATAGTAATAACAATAGTACAATAGTAATGACAATAGTAATAGTGATAGTAACAATAATAATAATAGCGATAATAATAGAAATAATAGTAGTAATGATAATAGTAATAATAGTAGCAACAATAGTAGAAATGATAATAGTAGTAATAATAGTAATAACAATAGCAGTGAGACTGGTAATAATAATAATAGTAACCATAGTGATAATAATAATAATGATAATAATAATAATAACAGTAATAGCAGCAATAATGGCAATAAAACTAATACACTGTTGTGAGGAAACGATGGATTTTGCATAGGGTGCTGGAAATGCATGAGAATATTGGCCGACCGAGGACACATCTTTTGAAAATCCCGCATGAACTGCAGCTTAAAAAATTATTATTTGTAATGTGGTAGGTTCTCTGTTTAATGTTACATAATTTCGTTTCAGAAAATAGCCGAGGCTTGGCTTGCAGTCTATGGCGTTTTGAAAAACTGCGGTCTGCTAACGCAGGGAATCCTTGCGGAGCAAGCGAAAATCGTTGCTAATGTGATTTTAAGCGAATTTGTGTTGATAAACAAAATGGTAAGGCATCTTTGTTTTTTTTTTTTTGATTTTTTTTTTTGCTAGATTTAGTTTATTAGGTTCATTATTCTTCTTCGTAACCTTTGAATTTGAAGATATTTTGAGCTTTTGAGAGCTCCCTTTTAACCTGCAAACGAGAGTTGATATCCCAAGCTACTCTTAAATGCCTCCTTTGGAAGCGGATTAGGAAAAACGCATTAAAAAACTTGAAGATTACATTGGATATGTGAGTACTTCTTGCTTCAAATCACATGGATCGCCTGAACCCTCTTGATAGTTTTCATTTCTATCAAAATAAAAGACAAAAACTTTGCCGCACGCTTTTATGGCGTGTTCGGATATGCCAAAGATATTTGTAATAAAATGCAATTTCGCCAACCAGTTCAGTTGGAAAGCTGAAATTTTGCAAGGATATTCTGCGCCAAGTGCGACTGAAATATTTCAAATTCAGCTTTAAAGCACTAGTAGCTCTCGCTTACGAGCAAATGAAAGTTTGGTTTGGGACATTCAATTAATTTGGCAACAGACTGACCCAGGAGCAGTATTTTTCTGAGGATGTTTGCTGTTCGTGTGTGGGCCAGAAAGCATAAAATGAGCTTTTGCTTAGGCATATGCATCAAAAATAGGGATCATGCAAAAACGTTTAATCGCTCTGGCAACTCCGAACATCGCTCTGTATTTTAACCATTGTTTAGGAGGAGCTGATACTGAGTCCATTTGATCCGCATATGGAAATTGGTCGAGTGATTGATTTTTGGATTAAAAGAATCATCTTGAAATATCGGCCGCTTCAACAGTATTGTTTTTTTTTTTCGTTATTTTTCTATTATTTTTTTCTAGTTTGGCATTTATGAACTAAATTTTTTAATTGCATTATGTTTGTAGACGCTTCAAGTGGAAAATTTCCTCACTGAAGTCTTCCGATTGTTTTTGTTCTGTTCCACCCAGAAATACGGTGTACTTTTGCTTATTTGATGAGTAATTAAATCGCAGCAAATTCAGAAGATGGTAAATTTATGTAACTTTGGCAGTAACAAAACAGATGTTTTTTGAGGAATGAGCTTTGGCAGTAATATAATAAATATTTTTTTGAGAAGAGGATGTGCTACATCTAAAATCAGCAAGATTTCAAAGCCAGGGGTAACACCCGCGGGTAACACGTACGGCCCCGTAGAAGTTTGAGCGGATAAAATTATTATCACTGGAATCACGGAAGTAGAAGGCTGAAATTTTGTGTGCATGTCCCCTGCTCACACGCGACTCAGAAAATTTAAATTCAGCCTTCTTCTGCCCATGGTTAGCACGAACGGCCGTGTAAAAATTTTGGCGAGTAAATTATTATCTCGAGAACTATGGAATCCAGGAAATTGAAATTTTAGGGTAGTGACCCCACTGCTCACGCATGGCCTTGTAAATTCAAATTTAGCCTTTCCGCGCCTGCTGGTAACATATACAGCCTCGTGAAACTTTTGGCGGGTAAATTATCACCTGAGGAACCGTGGAATCTAGGAAGTTCCCTTCCCATGTGAAATCCCTCAAATTTAAATTCAAAGCAGTGAAAATCATTAGCAGGCAATTGTTCGGAGGCGGAATTGCACAGAACGCATGGTCATGCCGCTGCTCTGGTGCGCGCCGCTATTTATTATGATTTATTTTGACGAATAATTCACTTGCAGTACAGTACTCGCATATCTGAAGGAACAAATCGAAAGTGGAACATTGTTTGCTGGTGATGCTCAACAGGATGAGATTTATTTGTAAGTTTGTTTTTATTTTAAATACTTTTTTATAGATTTTATTTTAGTTGTAATTTTTTTGTCTTTAAATTTTATAATTTATAATTTATAGATTTAAATTTATAATTTATAAATTTATTTAAATTTTTTGTTTATGATTTAGATTATTTTTTAGATTAAATTTGTTTTAGACTAAATCAGATTAAATTTAGATTAAATTTTAGATTATTAATTTAGATTAAATTCATAATTTAGATAAATTTATAGTTTAAATTTATAATTAAATTTTAAAGATTTATAGATTTATAGATATTCGAAAATGTATGAAAATTAGTGGTATTTTTGTTGATTGTGGCTGTCTGCAAAAGGCAGAATTTGACAGTGGGTGGAGAGACCAAATTGATTGGCAGTTTGCCTTGTAGAAATCCTTCACATGTATGCTTCCCACTAGATAAAGCGATGTCTTTGGTTAACTTAATTGTTGACGAGCGATTAAGTGATGCTTTGGACTGTCTGCGTGGAGGCCTTTTTTTTTGAATAATCGGAATGAGTGGGAAGGGGAGTGGATTGTGATTTCTTGTTGCTGTGTTGCAAAAGGAAGGCGTTAGCAGCAAGGAAATGAATTTTGCATCTAATTTCCTTCAACTTGTTCAGTTGCCCTTCGATTCCATGTGGTATGCAAAAGCCCTGCTTCCTGATTCAAATTCCCCCGTCCTTGATGTATAATGATGTGACTAGAAATGAAATGAGCATTGTTTTTGGGTGGCAGATTGTTGTCGTCGCAGCTTAGAGCCTGCTGTGGCTCTTCTCCCCCTTCGCCCCATAGCTCCAAACTGCTGCCGAATCTTCCGTTCTCCCCGGTTCGTTTCTGTTTGTTTGTTTTTTCTAAAGTAAAGCATTGTTTGTTGGTTTGAGTAAGTGCTGTCCGCGCCCCGACAGGAGCACCCCTTCCAACAGCGCAAGCCTCCATTCGTGTTACAGCTGAAGTAAAGTGCATCTTTAAAAATCACTGAAATCATCAAGTGTTGGTAATCTGATTATCGCATGATTGTAGCATGAAAGTAATATGAAGAACTTGAAAAAGAAGGCAAGAATAGAACGAACTATGTAATGCAAGAGGTAGAAATATTGCTGGTACAGGAAAAATAAGAACGAGAGAGTTAAGACGTTTCGGTCCATGAAGTCATACAAGTCTTAGCTCAAACCTGAGGCGAGACTAAAAGGGGAAAACAGTCCTGTTTTGGCCCATTTGTTAGAGGCTTTTCTGTGAGCCTGGGCAAAACGCGCAGAAGTACAATAGTTACAGTAGATTTTGGTCTTTAGAGCTTAACTAAGTGCAGTGCTGATGTCCGTGGCCCATCCCTTTGCCCATGAACCGAAAGTATTATTATATTTTTGCTAAGGTGTGGATCATCAGTGCAATTCTTACTGTTAATCCGTGGCAATAGAAAACCGATAAATGAAGCAGCAGCGAACGGTGGTAGTGCACGGAGAAACACGGATCTTTATGCAATATGCGTGAAATTACTGGGTGAACGGCTGCAAAGAATGGCCAACAAGTATATGGAAAGTGATTTGTTCATGAATGTGGAATCAATTTTTCAAGAGCTGTGAAAATTTTCTTTCCCTAGTTGCTCAAAAATTGTGAATTTGATGTTTTTTTTTCAACCCTAAAATGGAAGCTTCCGATGACGACGGCTGCAAAATGTGGACAAACTTAGACCCTGTCTTACTTATTCACCCAAACTTTTACTGGGCCGTACATGTTACCCGCGGGTACGGGGGGAGTTGAATTTAAATTTACGGGGTCACGTATGGGTAAGGAAAGTTACCCTAAATGGAAAGGTTACCCTGCACTGCATTAATATTCCGCACCGGGTGGAGAAGGTTACCCTACACTGCAGTAATTTTCATCACCAGTTTGAGGGAAATTCCGCAGTTAAGAACCGGGCAACATTTCAACTATTTTTGCGCAGAACAAATTGCAAAGCAGTGAGAATCCATTAGCAGGCAGTCGTTCGGTAGATGGTCGCACCGGCTGCCGTTGTGCGCACCGCTATTTATTTTGTTTTACTTCAGTAAATTACAAATCGGCAAAATTTTTCAACATTTTTTAGGTCATCTTTCTGAGCCTTAAATTTTGATTTTTATTACCTTTTGATTTTACTCTTTTATATTGATCTCACAGTTCTCGAATTCATTTGGATTCAGTTATCTTTTTGTAATAAAATTGCTCCGCATCTCACTAACGGCCTTATCTCGAGAACTTCCTTGTCCTTTTTGTAGAAGTATCAAAATATGGGTGCGGCAAGAGGAACTGCGGAAGTCTTTTTTTCCACCGGGTACAAAATTTAACAGCTGAACATAAATTTTTGTAACAGCACCTTAGAATGTTGCTGGTTCGCTACAAATCCTCCTAAAAAAGACGACTTTAAACTCTAGTATGCGTTGAAAAATGGCTATTTGAAAAAGCTAATTATTTTGTAACAAACTTCATTTGGGCTATAGCTCTGATATCCTCTTTTAATCATTCGAAGCTCGGAAGTCCACCGGCCTTAGCTCAGATAATTTCAAGTTTTTATGCGTTTTTGTGCATATTTTTGTTCGTTTTTGTTGTGAATTTGCTTATTCATCTTCAGTCTGGGAACCACAAAAACTAGGAAGCTAACATTTTATGAGCATTTTCCCGGCCATGTGCGATCCTCCTTTTTTAAAAGCACCATTTACATATGCATATGAAATACGGCAGCCAAAAGGACAAAATAAGGAAATTTTGACAGGAGAACGATTTCGAGAAACAGACAAAGTGGAAAGCTGAACTTTCACAAAGATGTCCTTTCATGTCCGATTAAAATTTTCAAATTCATCTATTGTCTACTCCTGCGAACATTTCAAAATTCGTTGTAAGTAGCGTTCCAGCTTAAGAGTTGGCCGGAAAAGTACTCGTTATTAGCTTGCTTCTCTCTAAGCAACGCTTAGAAGAATGTGTTATCTAGGGCTTTGCCAACGATTGATACGTACTATTTTTAAGTCCCTGCGTCTGCTTTCTAACACTCCTGCATCGCTCGTAGAGACTGAATACACAGTCGATTTTGACTTTCGCGTCCATGGGTTCATTTTTGTGCACTATTCCCATTTTTGGCAAATTGTATTGTGTTATAAATCGAGATAAGTGGTTTGTTACTACTACATTGATACGGATTGAAACTGTAGCGTAAGACTACTTCCAGAGAACAAACGTTGATTCGAATTGGAACTTAGGCTGTAAAGCACGAGGCTTACCGGTGTGATCATACGTTTTTGCGCTGAATTTGCAAATCGCTACCAGCAAGACTGGTTCCTGCGCTGTAATTTAACACTTAAACCCATATTAGCTGGGTTTTGGCCTTTTTCCGCATGCAAGGGGAAATGGCGTTGGCTGAGATTGAGGTAGTGCATTATGGAGCGGCATGGACCGCTGTGTACATGATTATCAGTTTTTATGCGTTTTTGCATATATGTAAATTGCTAAAACGCATACTGGGAAGGGGCTGTGTGTATGTATGTATGTATTTGTATGTGTATCTGTGTTCGCAATTTTTGTCACCCACGTTCAATTCGAGAACTAGAAAAGCTAGAAGGCTGAAATTTTGGGAGTATGTGCCCATACTATGCGCGACCCTCCCGTTTTAATTTCATCCCCTGAAGACACCTGGGTGCCGCGTGAAATATGCAGGTTTTTTGGCGGGAGGACGATCTCGGGAACCACACGAGCTAGGAGGCTGAAAAACTGTAGGGATATTCCCTGTGTATGTGGTAGCTAAAGGTTTCAAATTTAGGTCCCAGGTATGCGTGGTACTCACGTAAGGGCATATGAAAGTTTTTGCGGGAAAATTACTAACTCGGGAAACGGAACAGCTGGAAGGCTGAGATTTTGGGGGGATGTTCGTTCCCTGTCCAAATACAAGTTAAGTATTTCAAATTCGACCTTGAGGTAAGCGTGGTTCTTCCGTACAGACACTTAAAAGTTTTGGTGGAAAAATTTCTCGCTGAACAGCTAGGTTACTTTTAAAGAACGGCCGTCAAACGAAAGCTGTTCATACCCCTTATGCAAAATTTACGGTGATTTATGTCAGTGACCACAAAAGGTAGGTGTAAAGCAGCAACCATTCATACAGTTAGTGACGTAAGCACTTCATGTCCGGTGCAAGAACGCATGATGCATGGGGCCACCCGGTGCATTCCAGATTGGGTTTTTTTTGCATAAAGCCTGGTTGTTTTCCTGGTGAATGCTCGTTTGTTGAAAAAATGCAGATTTAAAGAAAGTCGTGAGAGGATTATGAAATCTGAAAAATGCACTCGCTTTTGAATTTGCGATAAAACTAAGTGTTTGCCATGTATGCGTGCAGGAAACTTCACCTCCAGCCTGAATTAAAACCGCGCGTGAATAGAGACTATCTTTGCAAAGTTTCAGCTACGCATTGTCTGTTAAACAAAATAGCCACTTCGCTACAAATATCTTTAAAGTACCCCAAGTCGTCACGCAAGTGCAAAGCGAAGTTCAATTTAGTTATACGATTCCCAATATGAATAATAAATACTCTGGAAAAGTTTCAACCACTGTTTCCCAGCTAGTTTTCGAGTTAGCGCAGTGCCAACTGCGAACATTGACGCGACCACACCCGCGGCATAAGCGTACGCGATTGAATTTGAAATCTTTACACACGCACAGAGAATATCCCTGCAAAGTTTCACCTTTCTATCGTGTCTGGTTCGTAAAATCATTTCTCGCTAAAGAAATTTGCGCATTTTTTTTCGGGGGTCGGTAAGCACGTATGAGCAAAAATTTTAAAACGATAAAGTGACACATAGGGTTGAAATACTACCTCAGAATTTTAGTTTTCCAGCTTTCCTGGTTACTGAATTGAAAATAGGTGACAAAGTTCACTTGCTTCCGAATACACATATACGGGCGACCTCTCGACAATATGCGTTTTTGCTCGATTAGCATAGCGCTGTACATCAAAAGCGTATAAAAAGCAGAAAAAATTCCAGATTCTGTGGTACTTCGTTTCGCTTCTATGGTAAATTGGTGTTAGCGTGGTTTTTATGGCTACGATCCGGCAAACTTTCTGCTTGTTTTGAAATAATTCCCAGAGCAGTGACCATCGATAATGTTGCCGGCGATTGTTTGCAATGCGGGCCAGTTTCATATGTATCTTCATCCTCACAGGGACTGGCTGCGAAACCAGTTTTAACTGTAAAATTCGTAATTTCATTTCGATGTTACGATACCCGAAATTGTGGTACTATTTCTTCCGCTGAATGTATTTCACTCGAGAGTAGTCTCGAGACTCAGCCCGTTGCTCACAGACAGGTTGTACCAGTGGTCCCAAAGATTACTACTATTTGTCGCTACAATACATTGAGTGTGGGTAGCAGTAGTTTACAAATCCAGCGATTAACTGGAACTCTCTCTCTCTCGGACACCCGATCGTTTGCTGTATGGACAGATTTTAATCGCCTTATTGTCGTTGTGCAGTGGTTGTGTGTGTGTGTGTGGGAGTGTATCTGTCTGTACACATCCGTACCTCCAAATGCACAACCTCGACGTCCTCAACACTCTTGCTACGATTGTGCTTCCAGACTCTGTATTCAAACAGTCATCATCCGGGTTGTTGTACACCATCATCATTAGTGACATCACCGCACTTACTCCTTAAACTGCTTTCTCAATTCGTCATCAGTGACCGAAAAGAACACTTACAATTTGCAACGGTGGAGTTCCGATTGTTTTCGGGGTTATTAATCCTACGAGGGGAATGAAACCAACGTGTACATTAGCGTGGCTACTAAACGAAAATCCTGCTCGACTGAGCCGTGTTAGAAAGCGTTTTCTGCGTATACAGCTAAGGGATGAAACACAGACTGCGTCATAAAATATCTTCAAACACATGACGTTCAAGTGAAATCCTTCTATTCTTCTATTCCAGCACGACTGTGGTGTGCAAGAGTGGCGGAAGGGAGGGGGTGAGGACCGAAGGTGGTGGTTTAAGTCTCGGAAATTGTAACGCATGGACGGAATCAGGGTTACTTATTGAATACAAAAGAGTTGAGAAACGGATGAGTGGGGAACGGCTTTTAACTGCAAACGAGTTGAGACCGTATTTGAAAGTATGAACTATGTTTTGTAAGATTGTTGAAAAATTACATATTCTAATGCACGAACAAGTTTGCAGTCTGTGTGTTCATCCCTTTGCTGTAAACAGAAGTAGAGAATCTGAAGCGCATACGAGTGGGAATCGTCAGTACAGCCTCTTACTCGTCGTTTATGAAATTGAGGCGGGGTTTATGGACTTGGTGCTCCTACGAGTTTTTCATGCTTAGTCTTAAACTTGATGCTGTGAAGAAGTTAGCAATTTTGAAAGTGATACCTAGAATATAGCGTAGGCAGAAAATTTTGTGCCATGATTTCCCTAGCTCGAATCCGGACGCAAAAATGAGTGCATGTTGCGCGGCCGAGCCGAGTCGGGTGGAGTTTTAGTAGTTGCCAGTAGCGAGGTTTTTTTTCCATGGACATGCAAGAGCGATCAGAAGGCATTCAGTTTACCTATAATTAAATGAGATAATCACGT